AAAAAGAGTCTACAGGGATTCTGAGGAGAAAGGCCACTCAGAGGAGAACAGTCAGGGGTGGACTTGATTCGACCTTGAAGAATGGGTAGGATCCAGAGAGTTGGAAAGGCCCAGGCAGGGTATGGTGAGGTCAGCAAAGGAAGGGACCTGGTGCCTCCTAGGCCTGTGCTGATCATGGAACCTGGAGTACAGGTTTTAGATCTTACAGTTTTAAGATAGAATGGTAGCAGGAGGCCAGTTTGTCTGGCACTTGAACTCCAGGTGGGGCAGTTTAGACCTTTACCTTCAATCAGTAGGAATGACTGGGAGTTTTTGACTGGGGGAGTTGAGTGGTACAGGTTGGCTTCAACAATTTGCTTCTCTTGTAAGCTCTGACTGAGAACCACTGGTTAATCCACTAATGTTAGTGCAGTAACCAGAAAGGCTTCTTCGAGCCAGAAATACTTCTTCCCAGAGAATGACTTATTTACTAAATGGGACCAGGTCAAGAATTATATATGTATATGTGCCTCTGTGTGTGTGTATATATATATAATACACACACAGAGTAATATACATATATACACATTCTTATATAACTGTAATATATAGTTATATATTCATATGCATACATATATAATTGCAATATACAGTAATATGTACACATATACACCTATATGTAGGTGTATATGTATGCATATGTGTGCCTGTGTGTGTGTATATATGTATCTAAATATACACAGGCACACATATGCATACATATACATACACAGGCACACATATACATACATATATATACACACAGGCACACATATGCATACATATACATACACAGGCACACATATACATACATATATATACACACAGGCACAGGTATATACACACACAGGCACACATATGCATACATATACATACACACAGTACACATATACATACATATATATACACACAGGTCATTACATGGCATATATATACACACAGGCACACATATGCATACATATACATACACAGGCACACATATGCACACATATATATACACACAGGCACACATATGCATACATATATAAGCATATACATAGGCACACATATGCATACATATATATATACACACAGGCACACATATGCATACATATACATACACAGGCACATGCATATATATACATATATATACACACAGGCACATATATGCATACATATACATACAGGCACACATATACATACATATATACACACAGGCACACATATATTGGCATATACACAGGCACACATACATACATATATATACACACAGGCACACATATGCATACATATACATACACAGGCACACATATACATACCTATATATACATACAGGCACACATATGCATACATATACATACACAGGCACACATATACATACATATATATACACACAGGCACACATATGCATACATATACATACACAGGCACACATATACATACATATATATACACACAGGCACACATATGCATACATATACATGCCACAGGCACACATATGCACACATATATATACACACAGGCACACATATGCATACATATACATACACAGGCACACATATACATACATATATACACACAGGCACACATATGCATACATATACATACACAGGCACACATATACATACATATATATACACACAGGCACACATATGCATACATATACATACACAGCACATACATATACATACATATATACACACAGGCACACATATGCATACATACACATACACAGGCACACATATACATACATATATATACACACAGGCACACATATGCATACATACACATACACAGGCACACATATACATACATATATATACACACAGGCACACAGATATATATGGGAATGATTCCATTGGACTTGCTTGCTATATAATAGAAATGAATGTTTCTGGTTACGCTGACAAATTTTAAAAAGCTTTATCTATATTTTAGGGAGTAGTTAGGGTTTTTTTTGGTGAATGCTATTTAATGAATTTTCCTCTCACTGGATAATTGTGTGTCTGGCCAATACACATCCTGCACAATTCCGCTTGCCACTCCAAGATGTTATCCTCAGGTGCCCCGGCATAAACAGTATGGCGGAAATACCCTTTTCCCTGTCTGTGTTTGTAAGATAGCCTCTTTCATGCCAGAAGAACTATTTTGGGAGAATGATTCATGTCACATTTTGGCCTCATTACAGTTTTAAGTTGTAAATGATGCCGGTTTGCCTGGAGGTGTAAACATAAGTGTTATCTTCATATGCATATGGGAATACCTGTAACAGAAAAAGTACTTTCTATTCTTGAGTTACAGTCTAGGTTATAAACAAAGAGATTAACAAGATCTTTATCAAAATTCTAATTTTATTGATGAGAAGCATACTTCCGAAAGAGTACCAGTTACTTGTGGCTCTGCCTCCATTCTCCATTTCCACTCACAGATGGAGAGTCAAAGAACTTAATGTCTTATTGTTATGAGCAGATGATTCTATAAAATAAACACTGTGCTTTCTCTTTTGAAATAGTACGAATAGTGAGAGCAGGTGTTAAATTACTGTCTTGCTGTTTGTGGTTAAAAGTAACAGGAGGTACAGAAATCATTCAAAGTGTATTTAGGTGTGAATGATAAAGTAAGGTGAAGCCATTCTAATTATTCCAGTTTGCTTTCTGGTAACTTTAAAGGATATGGCAAAGCTTCCTTATTTACTCAGTGGTTAACAATGTATGACGACACTGGAAATGAGGAACACTTAACGTCTGAGTTCGTTACCAGGCCTTGTACACAACAGTGCCTTAAAAGTGTTTATTGGCTGGGTGTGGTGACTCACATCTGTAATCCCAGCACTTTGAGAGGCTGAGGTGGGTGGATCACGAGGTCAGGAGTTCGCGACCAGCCTGGCCAACATGGTGAAACCCTGTCTCTACTAAAAGTACAAAAATTAGCCCAGCACGATGGCAGGCGCCTGTAATCCCAGCTACTGGGGAGGCTGAGGCAGGATAATCGCTTGAACCGGGGCGGCAGAGGTTGCAGTGAGCCAAGATCACGCCATTGCACCCCAGCCTGGGTGACAAAGAATCCGTATCAAAAAAAAAAAACAAAAAAGTGTTTATTGATTTGTCCCCAGATAACTGAGTTCAAATAGGAAAAAATTAGGTTTGGAATGTGGCTAGATTTTTCTATCATTCTCAAGGAATTACATACCCTATCTTAAAATTTTAAAATTGACAAAATATTACTTATTTTATAATTTTAAATTATAAAAGTGAAAATTGAAAAATAAAAAATTAAAGGAATGCTAATGTATTTGTTGTTGTTTGCTATACATCCTTTTTTTTTTTTTTTTTTTTTGTTTTTGTTTTTTTGGAGTCTTGCTCAGTTTCCCAGCCTGGAGCGCAGTGGTGTTATCTTGCCTTACTACAATCTCTGCCTACTAAGTTCAAGTGATTTTCCCACCTCGGCCTTCCACGTAGCTGGGATTACAGGTGCACATCACCATGCCCGGCTGATTTTTGTATTTTTAGTAGAAATGAGGTTTCACCATGTTGGCCAGGCTGGTCTCAAACTCCTGACCTCAAGTGATCCACCTGCCTCAGCCTTCCAAAGTTCTGGGATTACAGGCGTGAGTCACTGCACCTGGCCTGTTTTTTTTTTGAGATGGAGTTTCACTCTTGTTGCCCAGGCTGGAGTGTGATGGCGTCATCTTGGCTCTCTGCAACCTACACCTCCCAGGTGCAAGCGATTCTCCTGCCTCAGCCTCCCAAGTAGCTAGGATTACAGGCATGCGCCACCACACTGGCTAATTTTGTATTTTTAGTAGAGATGGGGTTTCACCATGTTAGCCAGGCTGCTCTCGAACTCCTGACCTCAGGTGATCCACCAGCCTTGGCCTCCCAAAGTGTTGGGATTACAGGCGTGAGCCACCGTGCCTGGCCTATATGCCCATTTTGATGGCAAGTTTTTTGGATACAGTGACAACCTTTTTGATCCACTGACAGTGATACATACTCTCTCCACTACCTTGGGCATGTGCTTTAAAAAATTATTTTCTGGTTCATCTGTGGTTGGTGCTTTCCATTTGGAACTTTTGACCCATGCCATTTAGGCAGATTTATTCGTATTTGAATAAGATTCTTCAATTAACAGTAAACCAAATGCATTGTAACATCTTATTTAATTCTAAAGTAGTGGTTTGAAAAAATATTAGCAATTTGAGGACACTTAAGCAGTTTTATCAATTCAGCTGAATCCAGCCTCATAGCAAAATCTGGCCTTGAATTCCCTCATTCTGCTAGAATCTTCTAGCTATGATGAGTGACACCTACTTTTTTCTTTTTTTTACTTTATCTTAGACATAAAAAAAAATCTTCTCTTGGTTATTCAGTGACTGCCTCATTAACTAGCCTGGGTCTCTACTTCCAGAAATTAGAATTTAGTGGTTCTGGAGTGGGGCCCAAACACCTATATTAAAAAACAGGGCTGGGTGCCGTGGCTCATGCCTGTAATCCCAGTACTTTGGGAGGCCCAGGTGGGTGGATCACGAGGTCAGGAGATCGAGACCATCCTGGCTAACACGGTGAAACCCTGTCTCTAAAAATACAAAAAACTGGCCGGGCGTGGTTGCAGGTGCCTGTAGTCCCAGCTACTTGGGAGACTGAGGAAGGAGAATGGCGTGAACCCGGGAGGCGGAGCTTGCAGTGAGCTGAGATTGCGCCACTGCACTCCAGCCTGGGCGACAGAGCGAGACTGTCTCAAAAAACAAACAAACAAGCAAACAAAACAAAAGCCACCAAAAAAGCTCTCCCAATGATTCTGATGCTCTAAGAGGACAATGGGTAAATAAAGGGCAAGCTTCAAACCCAAGATGTAAACATGGGCACAAATCTCCAAAGGTCCCCTTTTTTGAAAACTAACTGGATTGAACTGTGACATGTCTATGGTATGACAGTGAAATGAGAGAACTCCTAACATGTAATGAAACGTTGCTGTATTTCACATTTCCCCTTCTGTCTTCTCAGCCATCATGTATGTCATGGGAGCACTTGGCCCTGCAGTGGGATATTTATTAGGTGGACTTCTTATTGGTTTTTATGTTGATCCCAGAAATCCTGTTCACCTTGACCAGAATGACCCTCGTTTCATTGGAAACTGGTAAGTTCTGTTCTCTAATTTTTAAATTTCACTTCTTACTAACGATAGTTAAAATAATAGTACATTTGTATTTAAAATTTTTCCAATAGGGAGACAAAAAATAGCTGAAAGGTGTCTGGGAAGGGGTGACAGGCAGGATAACAACATCCCAAAGAAAGCTACATCCTAATCCCCAGAACCTATGAATAGGTTATCTTACATGGCAAAAGGGACATTGCAAATGTTATTAAGGACTCTGAGATTATTTTAGATGACCTGGGTGGGCCCAACGTAATCAAAGGAAAGAGCGAGGCAGGAGGGCAAGAATCTGAGAAGGAGATTTGCTGATTGAAGCACAGGTTGGAGTGATGTGCCTTGAAGATGGAGGAATGGGCTGTGAGCAAAGAATGCAGGCAGACTCTAGAAGCTGGAAAAGCAAGGAAATGAACTCTTCCCCAGCCTCCAGAAGCACGCAGCCCTTTCAGCCATTTTACACTTCTGACCTCCACAACTGTCACATGAATCAGATTGTGTTCCTGAAGCCACTTCTTATAGCAGGGAGCTTATACAGAGGGTTTGGGGACACTGGCTTAATCCGCATTCTTCAGGTGTGGGGTGCTCCTTTACAGCAGAGTGAAGGAAAAGGACTGCTGTGGCTGTGTGGGGACTTTCCTGCTGACTTTAATCATACTTTTCAGTATCTTTTCTGTGCCTTAAAAAAAATACATTGTTTTCACTTTCTTATTGTATTTGTGTGTCTGCTTTACAACCCTCTCCCACTGCCTGGAATGCCAGTCCTGCTTTTCCATGGTCACACTCTCAGTGACCCTTTTTTCTTGCTAATATTTTGTTTCCTCACGTGTGCTAGAGATTTAGCTGCTTTCTCGCTTCCTAGGACTTAACTGTCCTGCAAAATAAGTGATGCTTAGGACTCAGAATGAGAACTTCAACTTTGGATGTTATGTTATTTATCCAAATAACAGAGTCGTGTTTGAGTTCTTGCAGTCCTCAACTTGAACATGATAAGTTATTTTTTACAATTGCAAGCACTAACTGAAAATATTGGTGTCCTGAATTCATTTCATGTGGGTTAGCAATATATATACATTGATAAGGCATTTTCACTTTATAGTAAAGAGAACACTTCAGTATTAGAAAAGATACGTGCCAAGTAATTACTCACTTTTTTTTTGGAACATAGACGCACATGGAGAAAGTAATTACTTTCTAAAGAGTGTCTTAGAGTACTTTGTTTTCTCTGTGTTTCATTACATGATAATAACATTGTAACTCTGAGGTTGGTAGGAATAATGTTTAACACTATTGATTTTCAAAGCAGCTAACAGATATCAGTTGTTATACACACTTCCTATTTTCATAAGTAATGCTCTTTGAAGTTGGAAGTGTTACGTCTGGTAGAATTTTTAAATCATACAGAAAGGAGTTCCCCTGTCAGCATTAGGGAAGTAACACAGGAGTTTTAAGTTCTTGACTCATAGTGAAATTTCTGGTCTTGTCTGTTTTCTTTCCAGTTCTGAAATAAATCAGAGTAGAGACTTTTTTCATTGTCAGAAAACCAGATTAATTAACTCTATTTATGAACATCCAGCATATGTTCTGTGTTCTATTTAGAGGTCCTTAAGGAGGGCACAGTGACAGGGAAACATCTGGAGGGAAAGATGGGGAGAACCAACTCGGGTAGGGAGAAGGAGGGAAGGCAGGAGCTTTAGTCTTACCAGTGCTTTATGCTGTCTTTTGAATTGTTTTTAGGAGACGTTAGTCCAGTTGGCAGCAAAATTGAGAGATGAGGGCTGGGTATGGTGGCTCATGCCTGTAATCCCAACACTTTGGGAGGCCGAGGCAGGTGGATCACTTGAAGGTCAGGAGTTTGAGATCACCCTGGCCAACGTGGTGAGCCTCCATCTCTACTAAAAATACAAAAAATTAACCAGGTGTGGTGGCGCATGCCTGTGGTCCCAGCTACTTGAGAGGCTGAGGCAGGAGAATCGCTTGAACCTGGGAGGCGGAGGTTGCAGTGAGCTGAGATCGTGCCGTTGCACTCCAGCCTGAGTGACAGAGTGAGACTCTATCTCAAAATAAATAAATAATAAATAAATAAAATTGAGAGATGAAGAGTATAGACCCTGAAGCTATATTCCCCTGGGTTTAAACCCTAGTCTGCCACCTAATACCTATGTGACCTTGGGGAAGTTACTCTGTGCCTCAGTTTTTATAATCCATAAAAGAAGGTAGTTATGGTACTAATTATCATAGGGTCGTTGTGAGGAATGAATGAGTTTACATGTCTGGCACTCTAAGTTGTTCCTGCTGTACAGTATGTGTTAGCTATTCAGTCCTTTGAATTTAATCAGCGCTGAAGTAATTTTACCCATTTTTAATGGCTCAATGTTAGTTCTACACATGATAAAGACTGTCAATATAGAAACATATAATGAGGGTCTATTTAAACACAAATTTGAATTTTATTGAGTAACTACTTGTAACAGACTTCTACCTTGAACAAAGACAGCTATTTGATGCAATGTTATTTTATATGATGTCTAGCAGCAGTGATAAGTTTTTAATAGGTATATGATGAGAGGGAGAAGACGGAAGGAAGGAATGAATAATGCTAAAATGTATTGGATGCTTATTTTGTGTCCAGCATTATACTAAGCTCTACAAACATTCTCATTTAAGCCTTGTAACAACCATAGGTAGTCACTGGTATTATGTGCATTTTGCAGCTGAGGAAATTGATGTTCAGGGAGTTCAATAATTTTCCATAGGCCTCAGAGTCAGTGAGAGCTGAGAAAAGAAACTGACTCCAGAGCAGAGCTCTCAGTCTATTCTCTCACTGGCCCCCTTAGCAAATGGTCTCTGAGTCACGGTTCATGAAAGGGATTTAGGTAGCTTGGCTTTTCAAGTGTAGCTAGTATTGATGTGTCTTTTTCCAACATGTACTGCACACTTTCTTGTCTCACTCAGCTTTTCTCAGAGTCCTCTTTAGCATCATTATTATATCATGTGTTGTATCGATGTTATTTGAGACTGTTGAAGAATGAGAGTCGGTTTGCTCTGCTTTGAAGCGACCCCACACTTTAATATTATTTTTGTATTATTTTTGTTTATTTGCTATATTTCTCCCCTTCCTGTTATGCACCTTCACTTTGGGCTATTACAAGTAAATTTTTAATGTTTGCATATAATTTTAAGTCAATGCCTGGGGCTGGGATGGGCAGGGAGGCTGAATGCAATGCTATGTAAAAGGCATGCCGGGTGCGGTGGCTCACACTTATAATCCCAGCAGTTTGGGAGGCTGAGGTGGACAGATCACTTGAGCCCAGGAGTTCGAGACCAACCTGGGCAACATGGTGAGACCCCCCCCCCCACTTCTCTATAAAAAAATAAAAAGTTAGCCACTGCGCCTGTAGTCCCAGCTATTTGGTAGGCTGACGTGGAAGGATCACTTGAGCTCGGGAGGTCAAGGCTGCCGTGAGCCATGATTGTACCACTGCACTCCAGCCTGGGCGACAGAGTGAGGCACTGTCTCTAAAGAAAAAAAATCAAAATAAATAAATAAATAAATTAAAAAGCAAAGCAACCACACAAAACTAGCTATCATGAACTGATTGCTAATTTGGGGACAGACATTTTATGACGTCCATCATAACATTGTCTTATTTAATTTCGATGATCCCCAAACATACTTATTACCCCTCTTGTAGATAAGAAGGCCAATTTGGAAAAGCAAAATAATTTTCCCAGGATCCTATAGTAAGCAAGTGGTAAAGACAGGATACAAACCCAGGTCTGTCTGAAGCCACAGCCCATGAGTTGTCCCCTACACTACACCGCCTGCCCTCTTCTGGAGAGAGTGTGAGAGCTCAGGGAGCTGCAGGTTTTCGGGGGACTGGAATGGAGAGTTTGTGGAGACTGGCTCCAGAGGCAAGTGAGCAGTGCCTGATGGGTAAGGACCTCATAAGCAGCCAAGTAGTAAGAGGGGCCAGGCATTATTATAGCTATGTTCTCTGTAGACAGATGACCTTTTAAATTATTTTTATTTAAAATTTTATTTTTGAGACAGAGTTTCACTCTTATTGCCCAGGCTGGAGTACAGTGGCAAGGTCTTGGCTCACTGCAACCCCCGCCTCCTGGGTTCAAGCCATTCTCCTGCCTCAGCCTCCTGAGTAGCTGGGATTACAGGTACTTGCCACCATGCCTAGCTAATTTTTGTATTTTTAGTTGAGACAGGGTTTCACCATGTTTAGCAGGCTGGTCTCGAACTCCTGACCTCAGGTGATCCACCCACCTCGGCCTCCCAAAGTGCTGGGATTACAGGCGTAAGCCACTGTGCCCAGCTGACCTTTTTAAAATCAGAACTGTCTCTTTCAATTTATTTATTCAGCAGATTTTTTTTGAGTACCTAATCTGTGTCGGGCACTGGGCTGGTGGTTACATTCTGAATAACTGAGATTGCTGGAAGTCTGCCCCGAGCAAACTTCTCAAAATAAAGCCCTTTCCTGACTATCTTAAAATCTTCATTTGATGTAACTTTAAATATCTTTGAAAATAGCACACTCAGTTATTAATGACTAATTGTAGGAATCATTCTCTCAACTGTGACCTTTAGTATCTGATAACAGCACTTTAATAGAAACGTATTTTAAAAAATGAATTTTCACTTTGCAATGGATCTATATTCTTACTTGATTGAATTCAGTATTAATACTTATGATGCTGCTTGCATTCTGCTTACAATTGATGGGAATGTGTTGACTATTTATGAACTTGGAAGCTTGAATGGCAGAGTTTGTAGTTAGAACGTGACTACCCTGTTAGGGAGGGCCAGGAACCTCTGATTGCTAAGGAAATGTTGAAAGGGGACTGAGAAATTGACCCACGGGGCATCATGCAGTCAAGAAGTCCAGGGCTCTAATACTACAATTTCATTCTACTCTCTGTATTTGCTTCCCAGTGCTCTGCCACGTGGCAACCTCAGGTGAATTTAAAGACAGAATTCTGAGTCTAATAGCTCCTGTTCTACTTTTCTTGGGAAGCTTTCCAATACACATTCATCTCCCCTCTCTGAATTTTGATAGCACTCATAATCTGTACCATATAATCTAATCTTTAATTATATGCATTTTGCATTTCTTAGAGGTTGTTTCTTATATTTTTGGCTTACTTATGAATAGGTTGTAGGTTCTTGAAGGCAAGGACTAAGTTTAAATGTCTTTGTCGGTAACCCTCATACTTGGTGAAGTATTGTGAAGGCCAGCTAAGTGGGCAGCAATACATTCTTTTTTTTTTTAAGTCTTGCTCTGTCACCCAGGCTGGAGTGTGGAGTACAGTGGCCTGATCTCTGCTCACTGCAACAGCCACCTCCCAAGTTCAAGTGATTCTCAGGTAATCCCCGAGTAGCTGGGATTACAGGTGCACACCACCATACCCGGTTAATTTTTGTATATTTAGTAGAGACAGGGTTTCACCGTGTTGGCCAGGCTGGTCTCAAACTCCTGTCTCAGCCTCCCAAAGTGCTGGGATTATAGGTGTGAGTCACTGCACCCGGCTGGGTCAATACATTCTTAAGTGTTTGCAGAAAAATATTTGAATATTCTCAATAATTTAAAACTATTTCACATGGGATATTAATGCTTTTATTATGAGAAAGAAATGTCTATATTGGTCCATATAACATGCTGTAGTCTACATTATTTTTCTATTGAATTTATAATTTAGTGATAAAATACACATCGTAGAAGTTTAGCAATGCTAGCAGAACAAACTCATTGGTGCTCAAAAACACTTGAATGAAATTCTAATCAGGTTGCTGTTTATAATATTCAGTATAACACTAGTATAATTATTGAGTAGGTTTCTCATTTACATCACAGAAAGGGAGAATTCCTTCATTTTCTTAGTTTGCTCAACTTCCCACTGCTTTACAGTTGATTACAAAAAGTTTTCTCGAGAATTTTATCACCACAAACTTCTACTTTGCTAATTTGTTCTCACTCACAAAAGAAAAGCCATAAATGCTATTCACATTTTCCAATTTTTTAGGTGGAGTGGATTCCTCCTTTGTGCCATTGCAATGTTTCTTGTGATATTCCCAATGTTTACTTTTCCAAAAAAGCTTCCACCTCGACACAAGAAAAAGAAAAAGAAAAAGTTTTCTGTTGATGCTGTTAGTGATGACGATGTTCTGAAGGAGAAATCAAACAACAGTGAACAAGTGGACAAAAAAGTTTCTTCTATGGGATTTGGAAAGGATGTCAGAGGTAAAGTATACCTCTTGAATAAATACATGCATGGCGCTTTGGTCAGTGCTACTCAAAGTGTGGTCCCAGGCCAGTGCTGTCTACCCACTGTCTGTGGTTGGCTTGTGGCCAGATAAGTACTAAGATTGAGAGTAAGTGTTGCAAAACTTTTACAGAGTAATTTTTTTTGTGTTGCATCTAATAATAATTTAAAAATTAAGCTTATATTTTGTTATTTAAAATTAATTTTTAAATAATTCATTTGTGTATTTTGCAGAAGTATTAGTAGATGACAGGCTAGAAATAATAATTTAAAAAATGGCTTTTCCTCACACACAGTTTGAGAAGCACTGATTTAGATCACAAAGAAACAGATGTCTATATATGTTATTTACTATAATTAGAGATGTCTGATTTTTAAAATATTAAAAATGAAGTGCATTGTGCCATGGAGGGTTTGTTTCAGGGGAATAATAGTGGCTTTGGTAGTGTGGTTTGATGCCTACATAAGTATAAAACCTACCACTAGAAAGGGATCTCACTTAGCAGCTGTGTCAAATGCTTGCATGTGGGCTCAGAGAAGGGTGGCCAGGGGATGGGCCTCCAAACCCAGTGTAAAAGCATCCAGAAGGTCTTGGTGATGTGTAGTTTTTTTAATTTTTATTTATCTTAAAAATGCTGATTATATTAAGCTAGATTAGGCAATCTATAACCTAAACAATTTGAAGTTATCATGACCAGACAATATTTGTTCAGTGTTTCGTATATCTGTTGAATGACAATAAGTCCCTTTAATTCTAGAAACCTATAATGTGATATTCCCATTAGTTTCAGTTTTGTTTCCAACATTCTCTGAATTGATTTTTTTTGGTATAAATTATGAAGCATAATATTTATCAAGTGATTTCATCAGTCAAGGTTGTGTTAGGTAAAATTTACCTAGGCACATTATCATCTCATTTTGACTGTATATACAATGTGGCCAAAGAGGAACATTTCCAGCCTAGAATAAAGTTACTCATATGTTACAGACATGATCCTATGGCCTAAGAATAATAACAGTTAGATTGAACCATTTTTAAAGACTATATTTTTTGAAAGCAAATGAAGTGCTATTTCATTGAAAATGCTTCTTTCCAGTTACATTTCAGAGTTGGCCCTCTCCCTTCCCATGATTTTGTGACAGTGTGCACTTTTGGAACTGTACATGACTTCTTATGCTCTAATAACATAAATTGTTCTCTGGACGCTGGCATGGCCTGATCTCTTCCCATGTGCACTGGCCCATCATTTTGGTGAACCTGTTATAGACCATTATGGCTACTATCAAAAGAGTAATTTCTTTTTTTTTCCACAACTCAATTGAGACAAGGTTGATGTCAAAGAATTTAAAACATAGCAATAGTCTTTGTGATTCTTTTTTTTTTTGAGATGGGTAGCCCAGGCTGGAGTGCAGTGGTGCGATCTCCACTTACTGTAATCTCTGCCTTCTAGGTTCAAGCAATTCTCCTGCCTCAGCCTCCTGAGTAGCTGGCATTACAGGCGCCTGCCCATGCCCAACTAATTTTTGTATTTTTTTTTTTAGTAGAGATGGTGTTCCACCATGTTGGCCAGGCTGGTCTCGAACTCCTGACCTCAGGTGATCCACCTTCCTCGGCCTCCCAAAGTGCTGGGATTACAGGTGTGAGCCACCACGCCTGGCCAGTCTTTGAGTTTTCATTTATGGAGACTACAAAGTAGACTCAAAGGGAGAAATAAAGTCATACATAAGATAAAATTATATGTTTTATAGCTTAGGGTTAGGTGGCTTGAATATGAAATATATCATCTATTGGACAGTATAAAAAAGTGGGGAGAAGATTGATATCAAATACCAACAGCAGATACAACTGTTGCTGGGAATGAAGTTCTTTTGGAAGATGCAGTGTAGACAATGCTATCAATGCCCTGTCCACATTTTTGGACACTACCATTTTCATGGTGGAGGTCCACTAACTGCCGGGATTGAAATTATTTGCCTGAAGGTTTTTGGTTGTGGGCTGAGAAAACTGCTTGGCTCCTGCTTGAGGAGGTTTTCAGGTACCAAGGAATGAAACTCCTGGCCTCCAATGCCCCAGATAAGTCTTAAGCGGATGACTGGATAAGCACCGCAGCTCCTGCCCCTCTTGGAGGAGGCAATTCTGAGGTGTGTCTCTGTGTCTTTCATGGGCTCTCCTCCCTTCCAGTGCGCTTCTACCACGCTCTCCACCAGCGTTCCCTGAGCTGCCCAAATAAATTATTTAGACGTGAACTCTTGTCTCAGGTCCTGCTCCTGGGGAACCCATACTTAGACATGCAGTTTCGAAAGCGATCAGGGCCATTGAGAATTCAAAAATGGTTTTGGAAATTGAATCTATACACTATTTTAGGGGAGATCTTCTTGTACTGCCGGGGTTGCTTTTCTTTGTCTTCTCTATGCTCAATGTGATGGTTCAAGATATTTTCTTTTAAAAACAAGAATAAGAGGAGTCTTTGAATGGTGATGGGTAGTTGGTTTATAAAATCTGTTTCTATTCTGATTTTCTTATGAGTATTTTTGATAAAGCCTCCTTTTTTTACCCTATGCCTTGATTATCATGACTAATCCTACTTCTGCAGCCAAATCTCCTGACTGGGACACACAACTGATTCATTTTATTATTTCCACTTGTACTGGATTCTCTAATCATATCAAGACTGGAACTTCAAGAGACACATTATCTTGTTAGAAAGAAATACTGTTTTAATTGAATTATATTGAAAATGTTTTGCCAAAAATGACATTGATGATATTAAAATAATGTTCAATTAGAATATTTAAAATTAATTCATTTTTATCTTGTATACATCTATTTCCTTTAGTGTATCTAATACATATCACCTGAAGAAAGTGATTAATATTTAATATAATTTTCCAAAGGACAAATTAAATCCCCAGGAATCATTCTGCTATTGACATCATTTTTTTTTTTTTTTTAACAAAGCTGAGATTTATTATTGAGGTTACTTTTTAACAAAGCTGATATGTATTATTGAGGTCTTGCCTTAAAGAATGATTCATAGAAAAGTCCATTTTGAGTTAAATCTGAGTGTGAATCCCAGATCCTATTTTCCCTTCTATTTTCTGGAGTAGGGCTTCTTTTGGTCTTAATTTTTAAATTTCTTATTCTATTTTTATTTTATTGAGACAGAGTCTTTCTCTGTCACCCAGGCTGGAGTGCAGTGGTATGAACTTGGCTCGCTGCAGCCTCAACCTCCCAGGCTCAAGTGATCCTTCCTGGCTCAGCCTCCCTAGTAGCTGGGACTACAGGCCTGTGCCACCACACCTAGGTAATTTTTGCATTTTTTGTACAGATGGGGTTTCACCGTGTTTCACAGGCTGGTCTAGAATTCCTGGGCTCAAGGGATCTGCCTGCCTCAGCCTCCCAAAGTGCTGGGATTACAAGTATGAGCCACCACACTTGGATTTTTGGTCTTTATTTTACATTTCAAATTTGGATACCAATATTAGTACCTTCAAAGTGGAGGTAGAAGTTGGTAACTTATAATTCCTTAAACAGAAAAGTATTGGCCAGGTGCAGTGGCTCATGCCTGTAATCCCAGCACTTTGGGAGGCTGAGGTGGATCATCTGAGGTTGGGAGTTCGAGACCAGCCTGGCCAACATGGCAAAACCCAGTCTCTACTAAAAATACAAAAATTAGATGGGTGTTGTGGTGAGCACCTGTAATCCCAGCTATTTGGGAGGCTGAAACAGGAGATTTGCTTGAATCCGGGAAGTGGAGGTTGCAGTGAGCCAAGATTGTGCCACTGCACTCCAGCCTGTGCGACAGAGGTGAGATTGCATCCTTTAAAAAAAAAAAAAAAAAAGAAAAGAAAAGAAAATTATTTGAGCCATACAGAATGGTGCCCTTTTGGGAAGTTCTATTGCAGAGAATGTTAGAAGAAAATATAAGTCCACCTCCACATTTTAATGACAGACATTGAGAAAAATCTGACTCAGTGTTTTCATACTCTTATTATAAATTATGCAGGAATAATGCTGATTTAAGACACCACAAAGGGGAAAGTAGAATTCTCAGTGTATCTGCATTACACTCCACAAAGAGATTAGCATTGATTCCAACAAAAATCTTACCAATAAAAATAAACACTTAAAATATTTAAGTGAATCCATTTTCCTGAGGTTTGAGGTCCAGCATTTTAAAGCATTCCAAATTTAACTGGGCAGCTTTCTATCTAAAAAACTTTTGGTGGCACTTAATCACAAGAAGGATTTTACTTTCTATGTACACTTGTTAATCTTTGAAGCTTAATTGCTTAGTGTTACTAATTAAGCATAAAATTTAACAGATTTTTTCTCTGCTAGAGTTTTGTCTGTTAGAGTGCAATATATTTAAAATCCTAACTAAATAAAATAGTTGCCCTGAGGTGATAAACTGATTTAAAGAGGCCACTGAAAGTTAGAGAATTTTGCTTGTGGAAGGATAATGCTGGTATCATTGAATTCACTGAGTGTTCACTCTATAGAAGGTGTTGTACTCCATGCTTTTGTTATAAAGTTGAGTGAGCCATGGCTTACCCTCCAAGAGCTTAGAGTCCACTGAGGGGGCCAGGACAAATAGAGATGGAAATGTATTAGCGATCATAAAAAGAGAACAGGTGCAATGGTGTGAAGGTTCAAGGCTGCAGAAGGAACATCTAGTTGAGGGATCAGGAAAAGTTATGTGGAGAAGGTGGGATTTGGGATGAACCTCGAAATACTGGGAGGATTTCAGTAGGTGGAGGCGCGTGTCAGGAATGTTCAGGCAGAGAGATCAAAGGCCAGAAACTGGGACTGTGTAGATGTATTTGAAAGTGCTGAATAAGCGTTTTGTGGTTGCTGTGTTGGATATATGTGGCAGAGGCCGGGGAGATGAGGTTGGGAAGGTCAAGCAGGGCATATGGTGGAGAGCGTGAGTTCTCCGATTTCTTTTCTAATGGGGAATGGGGAGGTCTGAGCCGG